GGGCCGGAGCCGTAACCGTGGCCCCGTGGCCGTGGTGAAGAAAATCCGGGAAGGGTGGCCCAAAGCCCAATGAAGTGGGATGATGGGCGGAAGGTGGGGGAATCGCTGGACACGGCCACTTGTCGCGGTTTTGGGCAATTTAAGCGGCGGTTGCCGTTGTCATTGTCACGACGTCGAATGCGGTTGCCACTGACGCAAATGTTTGGCTTTGAGGCAATTAACGAGGCCAGAAAACGAGGGGTGGACCAAAAAAAAAAAGCGCAGCAGAGAACAAAAGTGAGGCGTTTCGATGCATTCTTTTTTGGTTTTGCTCTATTTTTTGGCTTGTAATAAAATGGCAAACGTATGCCCGGGCAATCAATAAACCCCTAGCCTGTCCCTCCCCAAAAAAAGCATGCTGTGGGTTTTTTAAGAGCTCACCGAAAAAACCACAACGTTGCAAGGACATGCTGCAAAAAGGAGCGGCAGAGGAGGCTGGTCGGCCAACAAGCGACTTAATACTGGCCAACTTGATGAAGATACAAGACAGATGGATAACGGCAGGTGAGCCGGGCATACAAATAAGAAAATTTTCCCCCTTTCTGCAGAGGAATTGCGGGCCAGGCGGACTGCAAAAGGACAAAACTTTTAAACAAGATTCGGCACTCGATACAGACACACACACGAACACCACTCGTCCGCTCACAATGGCCAAACAGACTCGGACTCAGCCTCTTTTATGCTTGGCCATAGTCCAATACAAATCGTTACCAATTTTCAGCCGGACGGGGGGCGGGCGAAGCGGGCTGGGGGGCGTGGTCGGTGGCAGGCCATAAGCAATGGTCAACTATATGGACAAACAGGAGGCGCACACCTTTCATTTATTGTTCGTGTCCGCTCTCCTTCCCTCGTTTTGTTCCTTTCCGGGCTGGTGGCGTATACGTAACGTGGGCATGTTCATATGGGAGAGGTACACCTAGAGAAATATATATATCCCATTTCATATTGTCTTCGATTTTGAACGAAATTTAATATATTTTACTATAACATAATATATTTTTCAAACAAACACTAAATAATAATAAATCGACAAGAAATCTATATACTAGATAAGTATAAGATTATTTGTCTATTTAATAGGTATAACAAGTAATACGATATATGCTATTAATAGTATATTAATGCTATAGCATATATATAATGGTATTTAAGGAAATTAACATCAAATATTTTATTTATACATCAAATTTGATAAAAATATATCTTTACTTTGCATCCTTAGAATTAATAATAGTACCAAGTTCTATGTTAGTAGTTCTTAGTGTACGGTTCCAAATTGCAGGTGGCTGAGTTCTGGAGCTGGTGGAGTGGTTCAGTCGATGGTGCATCGGCTTTATGTTGTGTATATGTCTGGCCGGGGTCTTTACGTTGGCTTGATTGGATTTGCCGATGCAAATGAAGAATCCAATTTTTAAAGTTTGTTTTTCGTTATCGTTACGTCTCTTGTTAGTGGTGGAAAACCTCCGACTGGTGTCTCCACATCTTCCTTTCCGGTTTTCCAGCTTTCCGGTTCCTCATGCAGCTCACGACACAGGTTCTTGGACACTCTCCTTCACTTTACTGCCGGACATTTTTTATGCTCGTCGACCACGTTTGTTTTATATGTACGTTTCGGGATATATCTTTTTTCTTTGCCTTTTTATACTCCTTCTCGTCTTCTCGCTTTGTTGGCCACATCAGCACACAGGACTCGGCCTGACACAAAGCGTCAGGAGGAACAGCCAACAATAACCAGGGACAATTCAAACAAACCGACAAGGGAGGCACCAAAAATTTGTTTGCTGCACAAAGCAAAAAAAAAACCAAAAAAAAAATTTATAAAAACACTGGGGGATAGGGAGAATACCAAAAAAAAATTTGAAAAAGAAAAGTTTTTGCTTTTCGGTTTGGCACGCCATTTGTTTGTGTCCCGATGCCTTTTGCCTTACCACAAAATCGAATTTTCACTTTTAAACAATTGACGTTACCACATACGGATACACCTGCATGTGTGCCACTGGAAGGCACTTTTTTGCTTTCTTTTCGTTTTTTATTGTGATCAACTTTTTGTGTTGGTTTATTTTCCTTTTTCTCATTTCATGCCTTTCAATTTGTTGTTTACTCTTTGTTTTTGCCACGGTCAGCTTAATTCAGCTCTGCCAAGTGCCTCTCATCGTTGCCATTGGCTTTTGTGTGCAGTTTATTTGGCAAATAAATTTACCAACTATTTTGCTAAACTGGCGTGGTAGCGGGTGAGGATTTTGTGATTGGTTTCGGGCTTGGAAAGAGGTAAAAAAAGACGGTATTCGCCTCTCTCTCACCAAATCGAATCATTTTATTTTAATCATTGGCGGCGGACAAATTGTGTTTGCATTAAAAACACAACACGATACGTGTCAAATCGAGTTGTGTGCCGTGTTATAAGCACATCCGATCATCTGTAATAATCAATTACGCCGCAGGGGCAACCAAAAGCGCCGAATTTAACGAAAACATGGCAGTTGCAATTTGTTTATTTGCAATTATTAGAATTAACAATGCATGGTGATGATGGATGCGAAATTAGCAAACGGGCAACCATTAACGGAATGCCAGCCATGGCAACGCGATATCCGAGTGCGCTAAACAGCAATTAGAGGAATGAAATTTGATCGCTCAATAGTTGGCAGTCGGGCTTATTAAATAATTGAGCACCGATTGCCGGCAATTTATCACAAATGATTTGTACGGTTATACAAAGAGTGGAAAGAAGATACCACCCGACCGACCCATCACGCCATCATATAAATCTCTGGCAATACGATCCCCTGACAGGCAGCTACAATTACGCCCGACAATCGAGCGAGTATCGATAAATTAATCAACATCTCGAGGAGCAAACGTTGCCAGCTGCCATTAAATCGCCCGTTGCTATTTTAAGAAGCATTCCAAGTTTCCTTTCCGTCCCCGACTGCCATGCTCTGCTATTAATGTTTTACTGGCCAATGGCATGGTCAGCGGCACTGAAAATTAGCCCAAAACGCATATGCCATAAATCCTGGGACCGGGCTGAGAGCCAGACAACCGCTCAAACTATGAAACGAAACTTTATTGACCCACAAATAACGTGCAGATAATTACAAAAACAAAGGCAACTGCCCCCAGGAAAACAAATGTGTCCGTTGTGGGGGATGGAAAAAGGCAGGAAAAAAGACAGGAAGTAAGACATTGTGAATCGAATAGGAGATATCCAATACTACATAGAAAAATCATATATTTTATTAAGATTTTATAAATATAAGAAATTGCTCACATAATATATTCATCTTTTTCTTTCGGGTTTCTGCGATTTATCTTCCCTCTTTAAGGGTCGTATTTTATTCTTCTTACACTTCATAGTCTAAAGCTGGATTTACCATTTTAAAATAATCATACATTATCTTAAAACTAAACCATAAATGTTATTATCTTTAGATCACAAAGTGTGTGCTCGAGATAGCCCAGACTTTATATTACTTTTACAGGATCAGAAGAGCTTCAACACATCATACCCTCAAAAGCCAAGAGTGCTGAGTATGGAAAAAAAGCAAAATACCATGGCAAAGTGGAAAAACTACTTACAAGTATGTTAACATGCGCAATTGTTGCCGTTGTCCAGCTCCAGACCTCCGGGCAAACTCGAGCCACGGAGCAGCAGAAGCACCAGTAGCATCAGCAACAATGCCACGGAAATCTTTTCTTTTCCTGCCCGAGTTTTACCCCACCACCTCAGCGCCTCGGTGGGTTTTTTTCCCAAAGATGCTCAAGTTTATTTGTTGTGGTCATGGCAGAAAGTAATCCAAAAGATAAAATACAATAAAATAAAAGGCCAGGGCGGTGAGTTATGTGCGGAGTTGTTGTTGCATTTGGTGGGCAGGTCGCATAGACAATGCGATACCTTAAAGCAACCCATGTGTTGTCGTCTGTCGGGCGAGTGTGCATAATTTATATGGCGAGCTTCACATGTTTTTGGCTAAATTATTTCCCTGGCCCCGAAGCACGTGCTGCGGCTCTACGGGCCACGCGGCCTTCAGGTCAACCGTTTGGGCCATAAATTTAGACGCCTGCCCTGCGACACGCTCTATGACACTATTGAACTTGAAAGGGATATGGCCGAGCAGCAAAACAATAAGCAAGCAATAAGGAAGACGAGGTGCAGGATCATGGGCCAAAAACACACAAAAGCCACTGAATTGACCTTGTAAGCTCGGGTTAACTGAAAAGCCTGATGCCAGTGTGTGAATAAAATGTAGGCTATATAATCTATATATCCTAAGCCGTTTGGTCGACTCTTGGCCAAATTTATAAAGTATAAGTCATACTAACTTAATATAGTTAGTTAAACAATCTCCTATAACGAAGTCAAACTGATATTCAATAAAATATGGTTTGAGTCATGGGAATAAACGTTAATCATCATCACTTATACTTAACATCTAGTGTCTAGCACAATATTAAGTAAAAACTTCTAGTGCTACAATCGCAGCATAAAAGAAATAAATAAATAAAATATTTGTAGATAGCATTAAGCGCCTCAAGTCATATGTACATGAAAAAACGCTGATAAAAATTTCAATTTATACAGGGACGGATCTGTGGGTACTTTTTGATTTTTTAGGAATTGTGAACTTGTTCAATGCGGTTTAATTTGGGAGGGTACTTTAAAATATATAATGTTAGCTTCATAATTTTTAATGGACGTCATTTTTATGTTTGTGCGAAAATATTCCCATTTTCCCTACTCTTGATCCGCGCCTGTTCAATGTGCGAGTACATTATCACTGGAAATAAAACAATTCTCAGTAATTTTTTAATTTTTTGTATATTAATAAAAAGAACTTGTTTTAAACTTCCCACAACCACATTAGTTTCTATATTTTAGGTTTTTATGACTTCAATTACCTAAAAAACCCAAAAATTGTAAATTAAAAATTTTTTCCTGTGCGGGTATTTTACTTATCAATAAGCTCATTCTGGACTACCCGCGAGACGTTGGAAATCTTTTGGCTCAGTATAATGAATTCAGCGGCTTGTTTTGGTATACTGGCATTATTGCTGTTCCATGAAGTACACGGAATGTTTCTGGATTCGGAATGTGAAAACTACACTCCTTATAAAAATCTATATGCACCTTGGATGGCATTGATTGTATCAAACCAACAAAGTTGCACGGGAACTCTTGTTAACAAAAGTTTGCACTATGCCTAAGATTTCTATACATTCACGGACATTAATAGAACTTATATTTTCTTGCAGATTACGTGTTAACAGTAGTAAGCTGCGTATTAAATCAAAACCAGAGGTACGTAAGCCTGTATTATACTAAAATATTTAAAACATCCGGTTATCTTTAAACAGAATCGTTCGCTTCGGGAGTGCTTACGGAAGCTACAAAGATTATTACGTAAAAGAAGTCTACATTCCCAATCTTTACAACAAAAATGATATAGCTCTGGTCAAACTAAACGAGACTGTGGTTCACATAAAACCGATATGCATTTGGTTAAACGACGGCTTGACATTGGAAAGCAACATCACTTTTAAAACCACCAACTGGGGCGCTAGTGGAAGTACAAGAACGAAAAGCATTAACAAATTTGAAAATAGAAAGTGCTCCAATTCCTTTGGTGTATACCCCGATCATACTCAGATCTGCGCTGGCTATAGTAATACAGACAAATGTGCCGAGCTCGGAAGTCCTTGGTCTTTGAAATGCTACCCAATTTTTATACACTAATTGGAATTCAGAGCCATGGAGTTTTGGGAACTTGTTTGTATACCAATATTAAAAGGTATTTCGACTGGATAGTGGGAGTCGTGTTGGAGGTCGATATCATAGTTAATACTTTATATGAAATGTAATAAAATGTTAATAACCAGAGATTAAAAAACAATATGCCATAAATTATTTCTAAGCTACAAAAAAGGTTAAACTTAGTAGGTGATCCTAGAGCATTTCGTTTATAGGCAAAAAAGCATCGGTCGAAAATATAAGAAGCAATATTTTATGTACCAGTGCATATAAACTGATAAGGCTTCTATTTTAAATGTTGAACTAATCATGAGGTTGTTCAGTTTTTGGAAAGCTGAGTTCTTGGAATGATGTATTCCGCTGTTTGTTTTACTGTATTCTTATGGATTCTGCTTCACCGGGGATCGGCACAGCTGCTTGATGTAAACTGCGGTACAGTTTCTCATCATGATGAGCATTTGATCTCCGGCAGCCCCTGGATGGCATTGATTATATTACCCAATAAAACCTGCAGTGGCACTCTGATATATAAGCGTTTGTCTAAATATGAATATTTTATCGTAAATATTAAAATAATAGAGCATTCTTTTCAGAATTTGTCATAACATCAGCTAATTGTTTGGTTGATCAAAACGATTCATCGTCAACTTTGTGGCTGCCCTCCAACATCACCATTCGTTTGGGGAATTTAAAGAGCCTTAAGCTGAAAAATATTAGCGATGAATATCCACCTAAGAACTACTACGTCCAAAGTGCATATGTTCATAGTCTCTATGACAAAAGTAATTCTAATAATGATATTGCACTGCTCGAACTAGAAGAAGATGTGCTCTATAAAGCCAACATTAAGCCAATATGCATTTGGTTAGACGACATCGATTTAAAAGTATTTAAACACTTTAGCACCACCCTTTGGTACGTAGATAAAAATGAAAACCATTCAAAATCCAGGACAAACACAATTACCCACTTCCATCCATCAAAGTGCATAAATGCCTTAAAAATGTCACCCCAGAACACTATGATTTGTGCTGGCTACAAAAACGAAAACATCGGCGTGGAATCTGGAAGTCCTTTGATTAATTATATCCGCTATTATAATAACACACTTTTCACACTTTTTGGAATACAAAGTTATGGCGATTTGGGAACGTTTATATATACCGATGTCACCAACTACATTGACTGGATAGTGGGAATCATTCTAGAGGTTGATGTCGTAGTAAATACAAGGACGCCTTTTTTTTAGACTCTTAGAAAAAGTAGCAAATATAAATATATATATAAATAAAAGAAATTTGGCTTGTTTTACTTATGTTTTTATTATATAAAAATTATGTTTAAATTTTTAATGTTTTTTCCCAATTTTTGTAAATTTTTTCTAAGAAGCAGCAATAATCTCTCTTATACTTTTTTTTCTGCGTATGGCGATAAGCTTTCAACCCCGCTTCTATGATTTATATAGAAAACAATTTACATTTTATTCTCTGTGTGCTGATAAGTCAGAACGTTTCTCTCTCTCTCTGATATTTCATGTTTAATACAATTTAAGATTATTTCAGTTTTGGGGAATCATTCCGATAGAAAAGATGACTCCCGCATTGCAGCTTTCATTGTTGCCGTTGCTGCTTTTTCAATTGGGATCCGCTGAGTTTTTGGATTTCAATTGCGCGAACCGCAATCCCAACCCCAGAAGTTTAAGGCGAAGCCCTTGGATGGCTTTCATCGAGCCTTTATCAAAAAACTGCAGCGGAACTTTAATAAATCAATGTTTGTGCTTTTCCTAAAGGTTTAAAAGACAAGCCAATTAATGAAAAAATACATTTCAGATAATGTGATAACATCGGCGAGCTGCATATTTGATCAAAGCGAAAAGCAAGTATAATATACATACAGCTTTCATTTACTAACCTCTTTAAACTCTACAGTACCGTTTTGTTCAGAATATCTAGGAATAACTATGAAAGGCACTCCGTTCAAAGCGCCTTCATACACAAGTTTTTCAACAAAAACACTTTTGAAAATGATATAGCTCTACTCATATTAGAGAAACCTGTCGTTTATAAACACGGGATGCGGCCAATATGCATTTGGTTGAATATGCCAAAGAATTTCCAGCAGAGTCAAAATTTAACAGCCAAAAGGTGGGTCATAGCCCAGGAAAAAATTATTCCGCGTATGAACCCCGTTTCCACGCTTGGCCCAAAAAAGTGCTACGAATCCTTCGGCAAGGTTCCCGTAAAATCCAGTTCTGCACTGTGTTAAAGGAATCAAAGGTGTCCCTATTCAGGTAGTCCTTTGGTCAGTGAGATGCTAGTTTCGGGAAAAATGAGTAACATACTAGTAGGAATTCAGAGCTATGACATTTTGGGAACTTGTGTATATACCAAAATTCAAAGCTACATCGACTGGATTATCGGAGTCGTGCTGGAGGTTGATGTTTTGTTATAAAAGTTTAACAGTTTAAAAACAACCCATAAATTTAATTTTTAGAATTAATCATGGCATATAACAATTATTTAAACGCTGTAAATACATTTTGCGAAGATATTTGTAACAATTATTTAAACAAAGGGGTTTGAATATATATATATCAATCATACCAGTATCCATTGTCTGTCCGTCTGTCCGTCTGTCCGGATGAACGCTGAGATCTCGGAAACTATGAGCGCTAGGCTATTGAGATTTGGCGTAAAGATTCCTGAGCTTCTTACGCAGCGCAAGTTTGTTTCAGTAGACTGCCACGCCCACTCTAACGCCCACAAACCGCCCAAAACTGTGGCTCCTACAGTTTTGATGCTAGAATAAACTGAAATGTAATGTTCTCATCAATACCTATCGATTGACCTAAAAAAAGTTTGCCACGCCCACTTTAACGCCCACAAACCGCGAAAACCTGTGACGCCCACAATTTTTATGCTAGATAAAAAATTTTAACTGAAATGTATTCGTCTCGTCATTACCTATCGATTGATCCAAAAACAAATTTGACACGCCCACTCTAACGCCCATAACGCTTAAATCTGTATACCGCCGGTAGGTGGCGCATTTTAATCTCGCTTTGCTACTTGCATATCTCTATTTAGCTGAATAACGGGTATCTGATAGTCGAGGTACTCATATAGTTTTTTTTTTATTAATGTTTGGTGACCTTCAAACTAAAGTACCCTACTGTTTAGTACAACTTTTATAACTCCAAACTTAGTGCAAAATATATCCCCTTTGTAAGCGGCACCTTGCTTCCTTTTATGAGACAAGAGACCACACACTTTTGGGCCGGCAGCCAATTTCATTGGCTTTAAAGCCCAAAACTGCTGCTGCCTGGCTGCTATTTATGTTGTTGTGGGTTGCAATTGCTCTGGGACCATTTAGCATTTTTCAAGTAACCACATGGGGCTAAGACCGACGGCAGATAGGGACCGAACCTTAATAGCTGCAAAGCGGGGGTGTTGAAGTATTACAAAACTCTAAACAGGCGCAAAAAGTTTCGCCAAAGAAAATGTTCTTAATTTGATTTCTTCAACGCCCCTGGAGTGCAGTATTGCGGCCAGGAAGGCTTCTAAATGTGCGTGTATCTTATAAATATATATCCCTGGCTACATATAGAAAGGTAGGTATATAAACCAGGTCCCGACTCAGGGCAGACAAGGTCTAATAAAAAGGCTTGGGCACAAAAGTTTTTAATAAAGTTTTTATACCCTAGCTACAAGCATAAAGTCGGCCAGTGAACGAGGGGTTGGGAAAAATGGAAATAATTGAGGCAATTTGTTACGGAGGAAATAAAAGGTAAGGGCAGCGGTTAAGGTACTGTTCTCCTTTCCTCATCCCTTTTGCGAGATGTAAAAACCTTGAAATAACCAAATAATCGCTTTGATCCTGCCCACAAAGATGTCAACTTTCTAGTTGGTATTTCTTAAACCAGAAAGCCACGAGACGCTTGAAGTTTCGAGGTCGAGAAGTGCGCGCACAGAGCAATATGCACCGTTTCCCAGTTGCAGTTTGAATTTCATTTCAAAACAATTTGTAACAGTCCCTCGTATTTCTCCCATATAGACACACACTCACACGCAGGCTCGCGGCAATCGAAGTTTGGTTTGGCAGCTAAGCAAATTTGCTGCAAGTCTGCCATTGCCACTGCCGAGTCAGCAGTGCAAGGATGCGCCTCCTGCATCCTGCATCCTGCGTCCCGCATCCTATTTCCCATTCGATCAGATCCGCTTACGACACACAGGGGAAAATCTAGATGATTTCTGAAAAAAACGTTAAGAACTTTTTATTTTATTTCAAAATTTTTATATAACAACCTATTAAAGTAAAATGTGTCACAAAAATCACTTCTAATTAAATTTCCTTTAGCTTGAAGTTGATGATTTAAAACCAACCAAAGAGAAGGTTAAAAAAAATGCAATAAAGTCAGAAAAAATCTTAGGTTTTGTTTTGCCAAAACAAATACTATACTATAGGTAGGTATATAAAAATCAAATAATGGTAACAAATTAATAAATATATGTAAAAAAAAAAAAAAAAAAAAAAAAACAAATTTATGGATTAAAAATATAACTTAATGTTCATCATATTTTATGATAACATGTTAAATATCGGAGGTGCCACCCAAAAGTGTGCAACAACATATTCTTAACTCAAAGTCCAAAAATTCAATCAAAAGAGGATACCATTTATTCACTGCATACTTTTAGGACCTAGAATTAAATTTAAAATTATTTCAAACCCTAGTGATTATGTGGAATCTTCTGTTAGTCTGAAGCTTGTGGTTTTTAAGATTATGAATCTGTAGATTTTCTTTCAGTGTCGATGCGTGTGCATGTCAATAGTTTTGCGCGTTCGCTGACGGTCTTGGCTGCCTTTTTCTTTTTGATGAATTGACAGGCAATGCTATTTGTCAGCAGTCAATGTGTTTGTTACATTTTATTGCCAGCTGGTTGCCGCTGATGCTGATGTTGCTGCTGCTGCTGTTGCTATTGCTGCTGTTGCTGCTGATGTTGCTGTTGCTGCTGCTGTTGCTATTGCTGCTGCATTGTTAATGTCAGGCGTTAGGGCATACGCTAAACATGGGGAGCAAGTTATTTGTCTGCATTTTATATGCAATTTCTCTATGCATCTCGCTGTTCGACAGACGGCCTGACAGGACAAAAGGACGAAAAGGACGACGGGGAGCGGCAACACCATCACCAGCAAATTGTGTTGTATTGTACTCGCATGCATCCGACAGTCGACAGCTGAGAGGCAATGGCTATAGCTATAGATATAGCTTCTTCGATTTGCATGGTCGCTGTTTGAAATAGATTACGCATCCGGCGTGCCAATTGCCCCTTGAACTTTGATCAGCGGACGGAGCGGAGGTCACTGCTGTCAATCAAAGGAATTGTTCCGCCTTCCATTGATTGAATGCAATCAAACTATAGTGAAATATTAATATTTCTCAGTTTCCTTGGCGAGCAAAGTTTTTTTCCCTAGCAACGGTTTTAATAAAATGCATTGCAAGCGAAAAATGCAGATTGTGTGGAATTCAATTAGGTAAGTCACCTGGAGCAGTGCTTCCTTAATACTAGATATCTTAATTTAATCTAAAGCATTTTCACCCTTTCCGTCGGTAATGATTTTCTTTTCATCGCATTTCGCAGCGCTGCCTCGATTCGCATGAAAATTTATATTTTTCTTGAAATGAAAAGCCATTTGGCACGACTTCATTTCCACAATCCTTTGCTATTTGCATCAGGTTGTGCTCCTTTATTTTTTTCGTGAACTGTTTACAATCTTTTAATAAAAAAAAATTTTTGTGTAAAAACTTTAGGGAAATACTTTAAATAGTTTTAAATTCCAACGGCTCAGTTCATTTCACATGCGCACCTAATGACGTCGTTGCCAAAAATAACTGAGAAATCAGCGACATTCTGGTTTCGCATGTGGTTTCCGGTTAAAATATTTTTTCGCATTTCTGTTACGCTTTATAAATAAGTGCATGTCAACATAAATTAAAATACTCCCGGTTGATTAATAATGCACAAGGAAAATGTCACAAAGAAATATGATTGTACGACGGTTGCCTCACTTAATTCCCTTCACTCCTTCAGCAGCTCCCTCAAAAGTGACCTGAACGAATCAGCAACCAGGCAAAAGGAACAAAGGATAATGCCCGATAAGTAATGCTAAAGCTTTAATACTCTTACATTTCGTTACAATAATATTATAATATATAACTAAAATATTGTACCTGGTAATGTAATTTTTAAAAAAGTAGTTTTTATATTCAAATAATAATTTTCTCCATCATCATTTTTAAAAATATTTGGATTTAAATTTTATGTTTGTTGTTTTATAATATTTTTGTAAAACATATTATATAAACTAAAAAAAAATATATTTCCATCCAACAGCATCATAAATCCCAACCAAAATCCCTGTACTATACCCTATTGTAAGTGCCTGGAAATATTTTATGCCAGCGCAAAAATAAAGTCATTAAAATTGTAAATATGTATACAAGTGGAAGACCGGAGACGGGTTTTCCGGGGACTTGGGGGAAAACGGGAGGACGAGATGACGCAGCCATCCTGTGTGCGTGCAAGAAATGGAAATGCGGTTAATTTCCGTAAAGTATGCAATAATTTCTGGCACTGAGCATAAGCAAGTGCACCCAGTGTGTGTGTAATGATATACATATATGCGTGGATATATATGAATGTGCGAGTGCAGCACAACAAAAGGCAAAGAGTAAAATAACTGCCACGCCTTCCCGCCCCTTGCAAGTAAATCTCTTTGGCAGCCTGCGAAGACGGAACTAACGAACAAACGGACATTCATCAATATAAATCAACCGGCGGCCACAAGCCAGGCCCAGTTGCAAGGATTTCGGGGCATGGGCGATAACTCGCATCTCGGATAGAGATGGAAATAGTGCCGATAGGGTAATACGTAGACGGAGATTATAAAAATATTAAAAGATTTTGTGCTTAAATTATATGTTATATTTTATAAACGTCTTTAATTTATTTCTATTTTATTCTGATGGGATTTTAAATGGTGTAGACTTGTATATTATGTAAGTCCTAGCTTGTTTAAAAAATGTATATTTTTTATAGATGGTATATTTTTTTAAGTATTTAATCTCATAAATTTTAGTCAACATAAAATCAAACCATCAATATTTGTTAATATATTTCCATAAAATTCAATGTTTTTCTCATAACATCTTGTTGGGAGCCATATTTTAGACGATATATATTACATGGAAATTTTCCAGTCGATAAGCATCCCTACCGAAAAAGAAGCCGTGGCAAGAGAAAGGGGTCGCCGCCCCATCGGAATAAATAAAAACATTTTTTGTATAAAAATGGCTGCGAATTGGTTGGCAAGCAGGGTCAGCCTAGGAATGGAGAGGATGAAAGGGGCCAGGCGGCTGTAAAAATGTTGGCCAAAGAAATATTTTCACATTTTTATTTATTTTTTCTTATTCGGCAAATGGCAAGCGGACGGCTTCGGACGGTCCCTGGTTTTTGGTCCTCGGCGCTTGGTCCTGAATGTCCTTGCAGCTGCTGCTGTTGCCACAGTAGCATTTTCGTTTCATTATGTTCCGCGTGCCTAAAGGATTGCAATATATATTTGGATCCTTTTTTCTTTTTGCCACTGACTGAATCGTTTGCATGTTGCAAGGGAAATGCTTTCCCTCTTGCACATGCACATCGGCATGCTTTACAATGCACAGAAACGTTGAGGCCACGCATTTTGACTTCGGTATTTGCGGCTTTTTATGTAATTCATGGTCATTCCCCATATGCATGTGCCTGCAAATTTACTGCCCGGCAAAAAATAAACAACTTATATGCACGGATTTGGGCAGAAACAAGCCTTCCCGAAAATCACGTAATTTATGCGATTTTTCATACAGTTGCAAACTGAGATGATGCAATTAAAGCAAAAATCATGGAAGAAAAATGATTATCCTTTTGAGTTGAAAAACTGTAAGCAAACTAAAAGTGTAACAAATTGCAAGGCCATTAATTTCAGTCTTATTTTCCCAATATGTTCATCAACTATTTTCTATAAATTTCCTTAAAAATCTTTGGAGACCTGTAACTGGAGAAAATGTTTCCATTCTTGTAACTCTATAGAACTCTGTGTTTTTATCAGTGTATTTGAATGGCGGTGCATTTTATTTGTCATTTCCGGTTTGTGCCGGAAGTTGAAATTATTGAAATCAAACGGAAATGCATCGATGCAAATGCATAAAAAACGGCAGCCGAAAACTTTGATTAACCCATTTTATATATTGATCCAAAGATGAATGTTAAAAATAATCGAACCTTTTTGAAGAATAAGTTGGGTTTATTAATCAACATTTTGATACAAGTTATACAAGTATTGGAAAAAATTAAAAAATGTTTGAAAAAATATTCAGTCGACCAAAAAATAAATAATTTTGTTCAACACAGTAAAAATGGGTTAAAGCAAGACTTCGATTGAACAACCATCCATCTGTCTATCCGTGTGTGTATTTGCGTGTGCGCAGCCCATAAATAAATATATAAATTTAAATAAATGCTGCCACAATGCCCGCACACTCACAGTTTGTTTGTCAATAAATCAGAATACTTATCAACGTCAAACGACCGCAAAGAATGCGAACAAACAACATAAGCGACCAAGGGCCAAAAAGGGGACCCCATTTTATGAATGCCTGCAACTGTGTATTAGGTCCGATTAAATTTATTAAAGAAGGCAAGGCCAAGACACTGGAACCTTATCGAAAATTTAAAAGAGACCTCAAATAAAATTTTATAAATATTTAAAAAAATGTTAAAAATCTATAAGTCATATTTCAATGCCTAGCCAAACAGCCAACTTTTCCCCAGTGCAGCTAAACCAAAAACATCCGCCAACTGACACTTGCTGCTCTATCTATTCTCCAGCAGCCACTGTGGAGGCCAATTTATCGCCAGTCTGTGCTTATTTCCCCATTTACCAACCCAACATTGTTTTGGGCCTAGTCCCGAACTAAGTCCGCTAATTGCGCCGCCTTAGCCGGGCCATCTCGACAGGGATTCGGGGGTTCCCCCACCCCATAATTATGCGAAATGTGCGCCATTTCTTCGGACTGTTGCCTGTTATTGTTTGCATTATTAGCTGACAATTTCGGTGGCACTGTGATGGCAAGTGGCGGGTCTGTGATTAGACAGGCTCTTTGGGGCCTCTGGAAATTGTGGGATTAGCTGGCGCTTTGTCTGTGGCTAGGAACTGGGAACTGGAAACTTGGACGAAGACCATCAGCCTCTCGCTCTCGATAAGCGCCCTAGGGCCACTCGAGCCCAAGAAGTTGGTGTTTTTCTTGCATAATTACGACCATAAGCCAAAGGCTTGTTATTACAGGCCAAAGAACTGGGCGATTTCCTAGAACGCAGCCCGAAACCAAATCGATTAAATCAATGTTGCTCTTAAAATTGGCTAAATTAAGACATTAATGGTACCGAATATTTTTGGAAATATTTTAGTAAGCCCTATGCTTACGTATTGTGATTAAAGTGGAAGCAACTAAACGAAGACTAAATTGAGAATTGTAAATTAAATATTAAGTAGTAAGGAACAATTTGATAGTAATTTATTTAAATATAATTTCAACATTATTATTATTTTTTTAAATATTTAAATAGATTACAAAAATATACTAGTTGTTTTATTTTATTTATTGATTTACTAGCAGAACCTTTTCGATTCTGAACACATTCTGAATGGTGTCCCTTGCCTTTCCTTTTGCATTTAAAATGGAGCAAATATTTTAGAATTTACCTGAATCGCATGCAAAAGCCTTTGTCAACATCGATGGTCCGCTGTGACCACGCTCTTTGTTGTAGTTTTTTGTGAATGCGCAATTGTTCAGTGTCGCAATGGTTGTGGCATGCACAAAGCGCCGATTGCACCGCCCACCCACGCACTAAAGCTTTCAGGACCCATCCAAACCAACCCAACCCAACCACCTCTCAAACGCTTTTTTTCGGCGCTGACATGTCCAGGCACTGGGCAAAAAACAAACCCATATATGTATATTCAATAGGCCGGGCTCGCCAGAGTGTTTTCCGACGTTTTTCTGTAATTCGTTGTAGTTTTTTCCAAGTTGGCTTTCAGCTGGGCCGAAAAAAAAGCAGCCCGCCTACATAAAGGCGCTAGCATATTAAAGGCTTAAACCCACTCAACGGCAGATGCCATATTGTTGAAATATATGCAGATACGTCGCGCATACGTCATGTGGAGATGGAATCCGGTCTGCAAAATGCATTCCATTCAAGAACCACCCCGCGATTTTTCATCGCGAGCGTTTAAGCAATCGCATGGAGCAGATTTAAGCATTATAAACATATTTTACAATTCAAAGGGATTGACATAGCATTCTGAAAACTTTAATTCAATGGTATTTTAACATCTGTAAAAAAGAAAAACCAAATATTTAATAGTTGCTACACTGTAAAAAATTTAATTAAAAGATAACTACAAAATTAGAATTACTCTGGGAGATTTCCAAAAACCTATAAGTATTTATAAGTATAAGGTATAATGTCATATCTAACCAAATCAAAGAACTCGGTTTTACACTTATCGATCGAAGAGGGCCTGGAGAATCTTTCGCTATGCTGTCGTCGTGCCGTTAGATCTCATTCAGTTTCTATTTTCGCTCCGAACAACTTCCAAATTGTACAGTAAAAATTTGTAAAAAAAAAAGTTTAAGATATTTTTCTATAAATTTATTTTGGAAAACTTGAGTCAAAAAAAATGTGTTCTCCGTGCGGTCCCTGCAGTCCCTGTGATCCTTGCTGCGGTCCTTTCGAGTGCTCCCCGAAGTGCTACAATGCGGCCCAGCTGGAGGCGTTGCCCCAATGTGCTCCGCGCATTCCACCGCCCTTCCCAAATGCATCACAGTTCAGCAGCCCCGCGGATGATCTGCAAAAAGAGGGTGGTCTTCACGGAAAAGATAGTCCCTGAGCCCATGGTGGTAACAGATGTCGCAGATTACGATACCTAAGGTCGTAGATGCCACGAGGGTTATCAAGGTGCCCAAGCTGATTTGGGTTCGCAGATGGTTCGAGAGCCTAGGGTTATCTACTACCCTCCATGATCCCCGATCCCTATGTGGTGTGCTACCCAAGCGGGTGTGCGAACCCCGTGAGGTGTGCCAATCGATCCTGTGCCAACCGAAGCCGCAGACCATCGACATTCCTCCCCCAAGGGAGTACTGTTGCTATCCTAATGGACCCATCAACTACAAGCCCAGTGCTGCCTGCCCACCCTGCCCATTGGACCTGTGCTCCTGGCGGACCCTGCTGCCCGCTGCCCTGCTTCTCCACCAATCAGTATCCCGTCGCCGAGGGCAGGTGCGGACCCTGCGGGCCATGTGGACCAGGTTGCGGACCCTGCGGACCGCGATGTGGTCCCTGCGGTCCCGGCCCCTGCGGACCTTGTGGGCCGAGGTGCGGTCCATGCGGACCATGTGCCGTTCCGAACTGCGGGCCCTGCGGCCTCACGATGCCATCGGGTCCGTTTGTCCCGGCTCCGTGTGGACCCTGTGCTCCCTGCGGACCTTGCGGACCGCTTGGCAATAGCCCCTGCGGTCCTTGTGGACCCTGCGGACCCTGTTCGCCGCCCTGTCCTTATGAATCACCCGAGTGCGGACCCTGCTACCCGTGCGCCCCAACTCCCTGGAACACCCACTGCGGTCCAGTTGGTCCCTGCGGTCCTCAAGTGCCCTGCGGTCCCTGTGGCCCCTGCTAGGATCATCTATATGCGGATTGCCCGTTGTCAGAAACCAGTGCCCTGTGGACCAACTTGTCTATCCCGACCGCTTGACTCCGATGCCGAATATCATATTGTTTTCGCTGTCCTGCTTATAATCACTACCAAAAGTCTATAGTACACTTTGCTTTGTCAACACATTGACGACTCATTGGCTGTAAATAAAATCGGATTTAAGCGAATGTCAATGGAATTTTTAAATGACAGGTAAAGGAAGGGCTACTTTAAATTACCTTCAGGTGTTATTTTAAGTATAATTTTATTTTTCAAGTAGGCCTTGGATTTGCTTGTCAGTCTAGCTATGCTTTGTTAGAAGTATATTTGCCATTTCGAAACCAGTTTCGCTTCGATACACTTCCAAATTTCTGTGGTAAAATTTTACAAAAAAAATTAATTACAAAATTTATTTTTTCAGATCTAATTTCGGTTAAACCTTGTAAAATCCAACCATGTGCTCTCCGTGCGGTCCCTGCAGTCCCTGTGATCCTTGCTGCGGTCCTTTCGAGTGCTCGCCCAAGTGCTACAATGCAGCTCAGCTGGAGGCGCTGCCACAATGTGCTCCTCGTATTCCGCCGCCGTTTCCCAAATGTATCACCGTCCAACAGCCGCCGCGAATGATCTGCAAGAAGCGAGTGGTCTTTACGGAGAAGATAGTGCCGGAACCGATGGTTGTGAATAGATGTCGACAGATCACAATACCAAAGGTGGTGGATGCCACGAGGGTCATCAAGGTGCCCAAGCTGATATGGGTGTCGCAGATGGTGCGGGAACCCAGAGTCATCTACTATCCGTCTATGATCCCCGATCCCTATGTGGTGTGCTATCCCAAGCGGGTGTGCGAACCCCGTGAGGTGTGTCAGTCGATCCTGTGCCAGCCGAAGCCGCAGACCATCGATATTCCTCCCCAAGGGAGTACTGTTGCTATCCCAATGGACCCATCAACTACAAACCCAGTGCCGCCTGCCACCCTGCCCCATTGGACCCTGTGCTCCTGGAGGACCCTGCTGCCCGCTGCCCTGCTTTTCCACCTGTCAATACCCAGTCGCTGAGGGCAGATGCGGACCTTGTGGACCCTGTGGACCCGGATGCGGACCTTGCGGACCAGGATGCGGTCCCTGCGGACCTTGTGGACCATTTGGTCCAGGCTGTGGTCCTTGTGGACCGTGTGGACCCTGTGGACCTGGACCTTGTGGCTTCGGCCCTTGTGGTCCTTGCTAGGCGAGGAAGCAATTGGATAAATTCTCAACGTCTACCAAAGAAATCCCGTGATGCACCTACGTTTTGGAAGTCCGTATCCGAACTCAAATATATTCCAGTCCAAAATAGACTTTGCAAGTTTCGTATATTAAAGAAATGCGTCTGATAAACATTTTATAAGCTTTTTATTGGGTTGTAGCTTTGCTTGTTACTTGAAAGAATTTTATTATTTATTGATCAAGAAATATGAATTATCACTAAATCCCTAAACATATATACGATTTGTTAAGAAAAGCAAGCTCCAAATTTAAGGTTTGAATGCCTTAGAGATTGCATAATTTTTGTGTTGCAAGGCTTCTGTGAAATAAGGGATTTTATGAAAGTCCGTTTATGGCCATTGGCCACATTACAAAATAGCTAATCAAGAGACCTTACTAAAGTATCACTGAGTTAACTGTCAGCTGTACGATTAACCAGTTCTCCTGTCTTAAAACCCAGCTAATTTCCAAATTTCTATTATTTTTCGTAAATCATGTCGAAGTACGTGGCTAGAGTGGGACCCGCAGTCTTTCCAAGCTCGGGAAATGGGCCTACAACATGTCTGGATTCAACCAATACGGTCTACACCGCGATGATTGCCTCTATGAGAATGAGGATGTGGCAGAGGCAGTGCGTCGTCTGCCCCGCAAGATGTACGATGAGCGCAACTACCGCATCATGCGGGCACTACACCTCTCCATGACCAAGACGATCCTGCCCAAGGAGAAGTGGACCAAGTACGAGGAGGATATCAAGTACCTGGAGCCCTATCTCAACGAGGTGGTAAAGGAGCGCGAGGAACGCGAGGAGTGGAATAAAACCCATTGATCTCCTGGTCTCAATTGAGTTTTCAATTTGTAATGTTAATACACCAAAAATATATGGTATCATTACATTCAAAGCAGCCTTTAATATAACCACGAGTGACTTGTTTTTCTGTAATTTTATTCCTGAACAGATATAAGAAATACTTTAAATAAACATTATCGTCTTTCATCCTATAATCGCTTCAATGTCATACCATCTAATATCACTTTATCCCCAGCTTATTTTAAACCCGTCTCTTGAAAACAACAACCGATTTAAATTCCATTTCGATCTACGGCCAATGTCAACGCAAATAATTTTCGCATTAAGTGCATCGCATAAATACAATATATGAAATTCATTAACAGCGAAAACAATACAAATTAGTGCTGTGGAGGGCGTGACCCTCTGCCGCTGAACATGTGTATACCTCCCTCCGAATTAAAATGGGCGAGCCGTGTGGCAGGTGGCAGGGGGCGTGGCAACGTCAGCGGCAAACAAAATGCATGTGCATGGCCCGCACATCCTGTCAATCCTCGTATACTTATGCGCATCCTGTTTAAAATGCAGCAAACAGCAAAAGCAACAATGCAGTTGCAGTTGCAGATGCAGATACTTTCGCAGCCATGTATATGCAGATATATCTGCATCTCTGCCGCTGTCTGATTGTTCTGGCGCTGCCATTCGACCGGAAGAAATTATTGTTATTCGAATTGATCTGCCATAGTTTCGATGTTGGCCAGTGCGATAGGCAATGCTGCTGCCACAGGAGCGATATCGCTGCGTCTGCGGCCAGTAACTGCCGGAGTTCTGATAACGTCAACGCAGGAGAGTGCAGCAAATGTTTTTTATACCCTGTAAATCCGCAGATTAAATGTGTAAAGTTGATGGGAAAAAATTTGAGGTATAATAAATTAAAATTTTAAAATCTTAACAAATGTTATGGAATAAAACTTTTCATTTAATTAAAAAATGTATTACAATTCTTAGTTGTTATGTTACAATACCAAAGTTCTTATTTTACCCAAGATTTTCTTTTCAGAAAAATAGATTTTTGAAAATTGGTTTTGCTTTAAATTAAAAAATACATAAAGCAAGTTCTTATTCGAACGTAGCTTTTATTTTAATGCAAAGAAAAATAAAATATTCTTAACTCTAAGCTTATAATTCCCAAGTGTATTTTTGGTTAGGTTCATTTATAAATTTGATTTGCTGATCCAGGGTATTTTTTAGTCTAATCCTTTTATTATCATCCCATCTCTTCTTTTTTCCTGCCATCGTTGGCGTTATTTATTTGCGCTCACATATGCATAAATAACGGGTGGTGGGCGGCAGTCTGACCCACCCACCAATGCCCAACTGCCGCTTGTACAATAAATTGCAAAAATATTATTTTATCAACAATAACTAATTAAATGCACTTAATTGCGTGCCGCAGTTGCTGTTGCACTGTTGCTGCTCGGTTTTCATTTTTATTTATTTTTGTTGCCTTATTTTTGTGTACATTTTCAGCTCTGTCCCCTGTTCGACCTTGTTTTTATGCAGCTGCTACTGATGTGGCATGGTATGGTATAAAATGGTATGGTATGGTATGGGATGGGGTGGTAACTGCAACATGGTCATCTGCATGCATATGCTTGAGCAGCGTTGTAAGTAGCCATGTAAGTGGACAAGTGGCCAACCGTCCTCGTTCGCTTTTCCCCCATTTTATCCCTTTCGGCCGAAACTCTTTCTGCGATTTATGCGTATTTTTAAGTGGCATTAAGTGCGCGTTAACATCTTATGAAGCCGGCAATGGCAACAATAAATTATTGCAGCAACATCTGGCTGGCCATTAAACGCCCCGAAACAAATGCTAATTGACGAGTGCCAGAAAGTGTGCTTTAAAAATACAGAAAAAATATGGCGGTAAGTCGCCGGGAAAGCATAATGAGTTGTGCGGCTAATTGGGGGAATGCAACTGCAGCGGCAGCAGCAGCAGAAGTTGCAGCTGCAACCTGCAACATCTCGAGCTGTTACATTTGCATTGTTATTGCGGCAAGTTCGTGGGCTTGCTGCATTTCTGGCCACTGTGTTTGTTAATGAAGTTTGTCGGCCGACATGCGGCAGGGAGAAATATTATGCATACGCCATGTTGGCCAAAAGTTTTACAAATCCTGTACTGTCCCCGTCCTTACCCCCACTATCCTTTCCTTCTCAGGGACATGGACATTGCACGTTCTTTGGACACATTTAGTCTCCAGTATATGCGTGTGTGTGTGTATGGTAATTTACAATCCCCCGTGCATGCAATGTACACATGCCTGCACGTGTATGGGTAAATTGTTAAATTTATACACAAAAGCAACGCTGCGCTGCAACTGCCAAAGTAATTTGCGATAAGTGCGTCAGATTCTTTGGGGAATTTTCGACCAGGACAACCACAGAAGCAGCATCGCCATCACCGCTGAAAGTACCTACAACAACAACAACTACGACAATAATAATGCAACCACAACAACAAGTGAAGTAAAAAGTGAATATTTATTCGGTTTTTGCGAGGGTTACGCCAGCCAGCATAAACGAAACTGCAATGCTCTGCGATCTGGCATTAAGATTAAAGCCTTCTCGCTCTGGGGAAAATTAAGTTTAGCTGCCCTTTGATTACAGAAACGCATTTTCAGTTTACTGTTCTGCAATTACCTTTAAAAAGGGTGAAAAGGGAAAGATGAGATCTTCGGTAACGTATCTACAGTGCGTTTCACAAAGGGAAATCATAAAGAACATAACATATTATGTAAGAAATTTAAAAAAAAATCATGTGTGTAAGATAATATAAGCATACATATTTTTCTCAAAGAATTGTTTTCTTAAATGCTGTTTAGTTACCTTTTATCCTTTTGTTATACACTATATTTAAATGGTAAGAAAGTTTGAGAGCCTCATTGGACTGGTTTTTGATTGTGCATTGAATCTTAAATTAGATTATCTTAGATTTTTATAAATAATAGATTATAGCTACTTAATTTTTGATAGATCTCAAACGTACTGCATATAAATGTATTTAAAGGAATGCCCAAAGGACATCGGCAATCAGGCAACTCCTGGCCAAGCCAAGATGAAAGGCAGCTCAAAAATCCAGCGCACATTTCATTTGCGGCTTGTCGTGTTCGCCACAACTTCGCTTCAGTGTGTGAGTGTGTGTTGGCCAGAGTATCTGTGTGAGCCCCCCTCTGTAAATAAGTCACAAGTGTATGCATATATACTTAAATATATCCTTGTGTGTATGTAAAAAAAAGGCAATTTGTATTTCAGCGTGTGCTTTTTTTCAGCGCTGCCCCGCAATGCTGTAATAATAAATTGCATAAAAGTATGCAATGAAAATAAAAATGCCAGTGCGTAATTAATGAGTCAAGGTGGTGTCATATGGTGCTTACCCACACCCAAACACACTCACTCACACACACGCACACACACACGATGGAGACATGCGACTTTGCTGTACATTGCGTGTTAAGTCGCGTATTTCATGGCGTTTATTTATTATGCACAAAGTGCCACCAGGAAGGGAGCAGCAGGATAATTTCCCGCCCAGTCAAGGGCCCAGCAAAATTATTGACTCAATTTGTAAGCTGGCAGAGAAACACACTAAGATAGCAATTCACCTACACACAAACAACTGGGGTCCAAATAATAGAAATAGGTACTGTATCTTCTCTATTTGCACTTATAAAGCAGTAAGTTTCGATATTCATATTCATTTACTTTTAATAAAAATGTTCTTTAGAAACTTCTGAGTTTTAAAATGTTCTCAAAGGTGTCTAAAAGTATGCAATAAAAAAATGAAACGAACTTCGTGAGTCAAGATTTTTATTGCCTACTTTTTGACACCTCCATAAGATTTTTCAAAACACTTGAATATCTAGTGCTATTTTTTCGCCCGCCTCTGTACTCACACTCGCACACTCGAGGGACGAACGTGTGTAAGCCCCACAGTCGCGTTAATTGCTTATGGGGCGCACATTATTCAGCTGTCATTCGGCAAATGTTAAGCACATGGCCCTCCCTCTCCCGCAATTCTCTTGGTCGAGAAGAAGAAATGGCCAAAGTTGCGGCTTTGGCAAACAATTAGGCAGCTAATTTGCAGCGGCTAAAAGGGCTGGGCGCGACCTAATCCTGTCTTTTTGGCCAGGAGACAGGGACGCTGTCAGTCAGTCAGCCAAGCGATTGCCGGCAAGGGTGAGACCCAGGGGGATACACTCGGAATTTCGTATGAAATTTGGGCCAGCAGCTAAATCACTGCCAAATCCTTTTGACAAATACGCACACAAGGACGCCCAGACACAACTAAGCTGGGCGCTGCTGACTGCTGCCTGCTGAGCTGAAAGGAAACGGAAACACGCTAATATGGCAAGTTATTCAAAAGGCATTCCAGATCGAGATAAATGCACTTGCCGCTCTCCAAAGCTGAGATGATGTTGCACAGTAAGTAAAGGGGGCAATGACAGGATTACATAACATTGGCTGACTTTTATTTTAACTCACTTAACCAATATTACCAGAAAATATTTTAATCAAAAGCTTAACAGGTTAATAACTTTAAACTATAAACCCGTTTTAATTTTATTTTTGGTAAGCTTATTTAAGTTTTAATCTGTAAAATCAAATTCGCTTCGCGAATCTAAGAGATACTTTTAATTTAAGCCTACACCAAGCAGAAGATTATAAATAAATCATAACATTTGCTGCTGGATCTATAACAATTTTTCTTTTGCCATACAGGGTCTTCATATTTATGTATCTACTCAAAATTTCGCTCAGTGTGAAACCTTAACTAGAAGAGCTGCCAGCGCAGCGTTGTCAACTGAGTGCTCGGCTGTCAACACACCGAAAACTAAAAAGGTGACAAGGACAAAGCGCTCCCTGCGCTGCTGTGGTTAACTGCCAGGATGCGAGGCTGCCAGGATGCTGGGATAGTAGGTTGGTAGGATGGTAGGATACTAGAATGCCAGCACATGGCAGCTGTCATGCGTGCAATGGAATGGCTCCGATTTCTGAAGCCCTGTATCCACGACTTACGGCTAAGTGGCAAA